CTTGTTCTTCCCATTGAACCTTTTTCATGGGATCTCCAATTACAAAAGTTGGGTTACCAACAGGGTTTATTTCAAGTAGCTTCAATAAAAGAGTTAATCACTTATACACTACCAGTGTAAATTTTTTTTTACACTTGCAACCAATTATATTCTTTAATTGTGTCATGTCACTGTAAACACGTTTACTTTTGACCGTGACATGACACAATTAAAGGATATAATTGGTTGTCAATGTAAAATTTTTTCACTGGTAATGTATAAGTGATTAACTCTTAATAAAATATTATTTTAGTGTTAACAAAACTAACAGAAGTGACTTGTTCTTCCCATTAAACCTTCTTCATGGGATCTTCAATTATAAAGGTTGGCTTACCAACACTGTTTGTTTCAAGTGATTTTAATAAAATCTCATTCCCCTTAATGTTTATAGATAACCCTCAATGTTTCATAAATAATATCTTTTTCAAGGGCTTAAAGTTAAAGGATCAGCCAAATCCGTCAATGACTACACATAATATTTTTTAATCCTTTTAAGTAAATGTTATATCACATTATTTCTTAATTTTATATTTCTAACATAATATATGCTAAAAGGTTATGAACTACTAAACCTTATAATCAACCATTTATAGAATAACAAATTCTTTTTCAACAATTGTATATGATTGATTTCAAATTAATTTCACTATAATAAAGTGAAATGATACAATATTAGTGGATTGTCTTATATCACATCGATCCAAGACTCAATTAATCATTTTATTTTTTTAATACAATGAAAAATCTACATAGTCAAATACCATAATTTATGACAATCCGTAACATATCATGATATCTAGCAAAATTGTTAATAATCCACATTTCTTCTGCTGGCTCATACAATAGCTTTTAAGAGTTAAACTCAAAAACCTTGCACCACTTATATTAAAGATATTAATATTTATTATATAATTACACGTTTAATTAAGTCTTTTGAGTATAAATTAACTTCGTTGTTTGTCAATAATAATTTGTTGTATACTTTGATCTTGACAATATTATTAGAAAGATCAACAACTTAAAATCAAATTGTAAAAAACTTTATTGAAATTGATATATTTTAGACAAAAAGGAAATTCTCCTAATCTAGGACAAAATTAAGGATAAATAAAATAAAATAAAGTTAAAAGTGATAAAAATATAAATAAATATTTTAAATCACGTGTCAACTTTTTATTAGTAAAATACCAATTGAGACACAATAAAGATACATGTAATTTAAATTCATTATCATGGTCATAAATAAATAATAGTTATGATATGCATTGTTTTTATATGATTAACCAATAACAATTTATTAGTAATATAATTTTTAGTTATTTGTTATAAAAATTAACAAATTTAGGATAAATAATAGTTTACAGTTAAATAAGAATATAAAACTATTTTACGGTCTTCAAACACAACCTATTTTGTCGTAAAATAAACTAATCATGCATGACACCGTGATCTATATTCCGTTATCGATTACACTAGAATGTACACACTGGACATGATATATAACTTTCCTAATTTGTAATGACTCGACAAGGAAACATGTTACCCAAATTACTCCTTGGTAAAAGCACAGTAGAATACCTTAATCAGTGGAATCTTCTTCTAGCTCCCTTTTACCTTTATTTTTAATCTGAACACAGCCATTTGCAAGCAAGCTCTCCATAGTATGAACTTTATATGAAAATTGTCCGATAGGTACACACTAATTTTTTTTAATTTATATAATAAATATAATATATGTTGATATATTATTAAAAAGTATAAATATAGATTATAATAACATATAAAATATGTTATTAAATTTTATTCAAAATTTATCATAAAATTATATATAATTATATGTCAAATAGATATATATTTACATATATTATTTTTATAATAATATTTTTATATATTATTATATGTAATATTTATTATAGTAATATTTTTAATTAATTTGCATGAGATTTCAATTACGCAGTTTTTAATTGCATATAATGCGTCTCAGACATGTCTCTCTTCTCTTGTAGATGGTGGCAGCCATTTGACAAAGACCGCATCGTTATTTTCTCCCTAAAATCCAAGAGGCAATATATCCTTCCTGGGAAACAATGTAGCAACCAACAAACAATTCTTAATTACCTTCCAATATTCAACATCTGCCAACTGATCCATTTAAACTCTCATATACTCTCATATGTAGCTCTTTAATTTCTTTCACAACTAAAAAATATATATCTTGCTCAGGACTCTCGTCTTGTATCTCTTAATGCAATATTATCACGACATATTAAATGTGAAACTTTCTATATGAGATACTTATTAACCCTACGAGTATGAGATTGTCGCTAGTTGTGGCTAAGACAATTGTCGTACGTTCACAAATCATAACTTATTAATTAGTGATAAGTGTCATAATTTCGTTCATTTTATAGTATAATTTGAAATATTTATCTCGTTTTTTTATTTGAAATCTTAATTTAACTAAAATTTATCGTAATTTATAAAAAGTTAACTTCGATTTTTCACTCATGTTTTTAAGTAATTTCAAAATTTTTGTTGTTATTTTATAATTAAGAAGAAAGATGAGAAACATTTAAAATAAAGTGGAAAGCCTGGAGAAGGCTCATGAGAAATAACTCAATTATCAAAAATAAAATATCATTTTTTTATAACTTTTGTTTTTCAAATTACTCCAAATTAATTAATTAAAATCTTTATTAATTTATTTACAAAAAAAAAGTGAGATGTTACACTAGAAATAGAATAAATGTTATTAGCTTTTCATAAACTTTTTGTTTTTAAAGTTGAATTCTTGCTTAAGTTATGCTAAAAATTGATAACTTAATCAAGAAACTTAGGGGGGTGTATTGGTTTAGGATTTCGTAGGATTTTAAAAGACTTTTTTTGAGTAAAAAAATCCATTGGTATTCAATCAGGATTTTATGTCACTTAAAAATAATACAGTGGTATTCAATCAGGATTTTCAAGATTTTTTAAAGAGTCCATTAAAATCCATTGGTATTCATTTGAGATTTTTTACAACTTAAAAACAATCCATTGGTATTCAAAAATATAAGGATTTTAAAGGATTGTTGTGTGAGAGGGATTTTGAAGGACTTTCTAGTGTTATCTATAAATACCAAATTCATAAAACAATCCCATCCAAACCCATCAGATTTTGAAGGATTGTTTGAAGTGACTTTTCAAG